TGGTTTAATTTTTTCATCTAAATTTTTTAAATAAAACAAAAGGGGCCACAGTTCGCCCTAAAATAAAATAATAAAGGACTCCCCTTCCCAATGTTCAGACTGTGGCACATGAGTTTTAGTTGCATGTGGATTTGATCGCCTGAGTGAGGTCAGGCAGAGCAACAATTTTGGGTGTGGAGTTTAAAGTCCAAGAGACATGTTCATGAGAACTGCATCTGATGAGAACATTCATGAAGGGTGATAAATAACAATAGGAGTTATACAAAGCAATGACAGCCATGAGAAGTCTGAATCCACACTTCTATACGCCGATCACGAGGTCCGGGCAGATGATCACTTGGGCATATGAAAGGCATATGAATATCCCTTGCAACTTTACTCATGGGTCACCTCATAGTCTAACAATTGAAGGTGGAGCTCACAAACCAACCAACAAAAAAAAACAAGGTGTTCGTATAACTCTGTTTGCCATCACTGTGTTTTTTTTTCCTGCCTTTTATCTCTTTTATTATTCAGTCTTATGACATTTAGTGGTGCAAGACATGTATGTATTTTAAATTGTGATTTGAGGTAATCATACTTTGTTTGGTTCTAAACCTTCTTCGCTATGATGATTTTTTTAAAAAAAAAAAATTGGGAGTGGCATGGTGTTCGCCGTAACCCAGCAACTATTCGATTCCATTGGCTGGCAATATGAGCATGTAATAGTCGCAGTAGAATTGATAATTTCCCTTGAATTAGGGCAGGTTCTTTCGCCCCAACTCAAGATTATTTTACTTTTAATGATTAGGCATGGAATTCTCTGGTTGGCACCAAAGCAGTAGCATGGTCGCAGAGAGAGTTCACGATAATGGCACGGTACTTCGCCAGAATCCGGATTATACATACCATGACAGTCATTAAATACAATCATCCTTTTGGCTGGCACCATCGTGGTCTCAATTGGATATTTGATTTTTTATGGCGTGGTCGCAGCATGGATTTTCGCTATGGCCTCACCTGCTACTGATTCAACCTGAATAATATGTATACTGTCAGCTTATAGTATGGTTTTACGCTATGAGCCACGATCGACATTGCAGCACGGCAGGGAACTGTGTTCTCACCCAATATTATTTCTATTTACATGATGGCAATCAAGCAATAATTTCGTTGTATAAAGTCAATCATATGATACTTCACAATTACTAGTACAGAAGGTACAGCACAAGAAAGCCATTCTTGTGCGTTTCTCAAAAGACATGTTTCCGTTGACCAAGAGTTTAACCTGGTTTTGCCGTTTCATGCTCAAGAATAAAGAGTCCCACAAAGGAATTCAGTCATATAAAGCGTATAGCAAAAAAAGTGTACAAGTATAACAGCGATAGCAGAGAGGAATGTGTTCCTTTATTGATAAAGAATAAGACAGATTACAGTGATAAATCCAGCAGCTGACAAAAGCAAACTACGACGCGAGCTTTCTTAAGAAATAAAAGAAAAAAAGCATGAATGATTTTGAAGTAAAAGGAACACGCTGAATATGGTTTTACTCGTCATCCTGTTCGACACCTTCCACTGCGCAGGATTCCATGAACTTGAGTTGCTCACGCAGACCAGAAGGAAGTTCAGAGTCACCTTGGCTCCCAGCTTCCCCAATAGCCTTATGAATGCTCTCCAAGCAGGAACTTCCTTGTGCCAGGGTTTCTTCCAAACGAGAGATGGAAGTGTGTGCTTCGCTCATTATTTCGTCATACTGGCCGTGAAGCTGAATGAGCCTAGTTTCATACTCCTTTTCCAGGGAGAGCTTGGATCTGGCGATCCCTATGGCATTGTTCAGCTCCTTGATCTTTTCGAGATATTCCTCTTTCCTTTTCTTCACTTCATCCTCGAGGCTGCCCCATACGTTGCCATAATCCTTAAGAGAGTCGTATCCCACCATGATGGACTCACGAGACTTCTTACCCATTTTTAACTGCTCTTTGATATGCTCTTCATCTTCTCGCAGATTGGAAATACTAAAGGGAACAGCATGATCTGACTTGCTATCAAGATTCATCTTTAAGCACTCTAACTCATTCATGAGTTCCTGTACCTCCTGCGGGATTTTGGTTTGTAACATGGTTCTCCACCGGTTCAAGATTGTTCCAATCCGTGTACTCAAAGCAACTTTGTCCAATATCGGTGCAGCGATCCACTTCTGAATCTTCTTAAGGTCAGACTGAACATAGACCATCATATCTCTCAGACTAGGGTCAGCATACTGGGGCACCACAATCCTGCTACGTCCCTCATATTTGTTGAGCTCCTTCGGCTCGGAATTGCGTTTAAGGCTGATGAATTCATCACCAACGTTCTCCAAATAGCGTTTTATGGTCTGGTCCATACTGGACTTCAGTGTTGCGGCTTTGGACAAAGCCATCTCCAAGTCATGTTCTCCACCTGGAATGAGAAATGAGAAAAGTTCAGTGAGCGGGGCAGATTTTGCGTGCTTACATTATATGTCAGTAATATCAAAACAACAAACTTTGGTCTAGTTACCTGGACGATCCAAACGCGGTTTCTTCGGGGGGCTATCATGCTGTTGGTCTGCATGTTCAAGTGTCACATCCAGATGTTTGTCTTCAGTGTTGAGGTTCTCCAAGCTACATTTCTCTGCTTCAGCTACATGGTGAGGGGAGGAACGTTTTTCTCCAACTGTCTGAAGAATGTTGGTCTCTTGGGGTGGTGACATTCCGCTGTCAGCGGATATAGGATCACGAGAGTCAGTAGTAACCACATCCTTCTTTATGCCATGATCAGTTATGAGAGCATGGGAAATTTTGAGGAATCGAGCAGCCATCGCTTTGGATTTGTTTCTCTTTCCGGTAGGCAGTGTGTCAGACTGTTTGGCAGCTATTTGTTCTGTTCATAGATATACATGGTTGTAACAGGAGCAAGTTTAGAACATACAAAAGACAGTCTTTTAATGCTAAGAAACAATTCTCATTACCTAATCCGGGCGAAGTCATATTTGTCTTGATATCTGAAACCTGAGGAATTTCTATCGATGAATGGACAGTGGCAGGCTCGAGTGAAGCTACAAAGGGGATACAATTTTTATGATCAGTACACTGCTCGACTTGTAATAGTTCAACAAAGAACAGTTAGTTTTCAGTGAAGAGGAATATCTTTTACGTTCAGGAGCCATTTTATTTTTCTTGTTACGGCAACTAGCTCGAGTCCTCTTCTGTTTGGTGACGCCGCCGATGGTAGGCACACCTGTATTAAAAAAAATGTTATCACCTGAAAAGACAAGAGAACAGCAGCATGACATTAGTATGAACAAGGAAATTCTGCAGTTACCTGAATTAGGGGCTGCCTTATTTCCTTCGTCACTAGTGGAGGCAAGTTTCATCTTTGTTGAATTTTTCTTCTGGATCTTCAATGTACGTGAAATTGCAACAGCCAAATATATTTTTTGTTAGCTAGACTTAAAGAAAATGCTACAAGAGGGATATGTACCTGTGTTAGAAGGCATTTCAATCTCCCCTTTCTGGAGAGCAGATGATGGTTCTTGACCTGAACAGATCATATCAGCTTTAGTGAGGAAACCAAGTGCTGATGTACACCACGTCACATACTCAATAGAGCGCTTGGTTCGCCGTGACAAGGGCTGTAAATGAAGCTGATGACCGGCTGGAAAATAGTAAGCCAGGTGTCGTCGCTGAAGGTGCTCAATTGTTTCCTCACGGGTGCCCTTCAAATAACTAGAAAACTGCAGAAGATATTCTCCATTGGGTCCTTCCATCAGGAAATCAGGGACATCTTGATCACACCCATGCATCCGAGCAAAACGATGAGGGGAATATACCAAGTTGTGATGGAGTTGACAATGAGTATGTGTAACAGCACCCACACCACAACTGATTAGCATGTCAATAGTTGTAATACGGATAGTACGGCGTCCGCCATCTGTGGCTTCTCGTGCATCACTTATCAAAAATTCAGACTCTGACTGAGGGAAACGTATGCGAGATTTCCCCAAGAAAGATAAGGAAAGCAGAGATTTGCTATCTGCAGCTAAGTCAAGGAACAACTGATGGGCTTTGAACAGATCAATTGTTGTAGATGTAATTCTCCATGCGTCCGTCACGAACGGCGGGAAGTGAGTAATTTTTGGATTCACCGCTGGTTGTGAAGGTGTCATTTTCCAATAAGAGGAGAACCAGCCCATAATAAAATGTGCAGGTAATGGCAGTTGGCACTCACTTGCTGACTTTGATCCGCCTATAATCTCTTGACAAACATTATCAAGACTTTGGTAAAGATAGGCCATGCTTGCCGTACCAATCGCAAGACGGATCCCTTGAGCAAGTCTTGCTGCAGCACAGAAGACCTCCGGCCGAATAAAGGACCCCATATTGATAGGAACACAGTATGTGCATAGCCAAGCTGCGATGAAGGCGGCACGGTATATTTCTCGTTCATATGTCTGCTTGTAAAAAATTACATGGTTGCCAAATCTAGCCGACCAGCGTTTCTGCAAAGACAACGTGCGAAACTCTAGATAAGAGAGCAAGGGATCTTCAGGATCAGCATAGAAATGACTTGGCACCCTTGCTTCAGTTTTGCCAACAGCTCCGAGATCTTCTCCTACAATGATATATGCCGTCCAGGTTAAGACACTATGGTCGAATAGAAGTATATGTAAAAATATATATATTATCTTCATACCTATAAAATAATCCAACCAATTTTGAAGAGTGACTTTACAAGAGCTTCCATTCTGATGCAATATCAGC